CCCAGCTGAATACAGCTCTTTCCTTCCACAATCCAGTGTCAGGAATTCTGTCTACGACTCCTCCTGCTACAGCTGGAGGGAAACCCTCTTCCTTCCCAGCCCCAGTTGTCTCTTTGTAACCATGATAGTTTGCTGCCGATGCACACACGTCAAGTCTGTATGCTGAGATGCTGGGCTGCAGCAGAGAAGGGGTTAATCATAGGGTCACTGAAGAAGTTGCTGGGAGGGAACCTCAAATCTATCTCCCAGAGGAATCTGGGGCTGGGGTTTGTTGTTGCTGTTGTTTGGTGTTGGTTTGGTGTTTTTTTGTTTGTTTTTTGAGACAGGGTCCCACGCTGGAGTTCAAGGGCAGAATCATAGTGAAATGGCAAAGATTCCCTTGTCCCCTCGCCGGGCATGCAATGGGGGACTGGCTTGCTTCTTTGGTGCCCCACTGCTCAAACCCCTAGGGGAGCATATCGACGAGCAGGGAGCCCCACGGCAGCTTCTAGGGGTGAATGTTGATAGCTGAAGCCCCAGTGGGCATGTGCTACAGGGCACTCTCTTAGTTTAGCTGTCTGTAGGCGGCTTGTGTTAACCAGCTCAATTAGGCCTGTGCCTTACCACAAGGACAGAGGCCTGTATCCCGGGGTTCTTGCTGTACCGGAAGAATCGGATCACACGTGGGCTTGGAGAATGAGTGCAAAGTTTGATTGCGTGGAAGCAGCTCTCAGCAGATGGGGGAGCCAGAAGGGAGATGGTTTTCCCCTGGAGTCAGGCCTCTCAGCAGCCTGGGCTCTCCTCCGACCACCCCAGCCAAACTCCATCATTCCACCAGCCGATGGCCTGCCGGGGTCTCAGCGTGCTCTTCTGCCGGTGTGCTCCCCCCGACGGCCTCTCGACATCCAGCCGCTTGTGTGTTCTGCCGATGGGTTCCTCTCCATGTCCAGTGCTTGGGTTCCTGCCCGCTAGGTCTCGGGGTTTCTATAGGCACAGGATGGGGGCGTGGCAGGGCAGAGTGGTTTTGGGAAATGCAACATTTGGACATGAAGGCAGGGTGTGTTGGTCCTCACCTAGGTCCGTGGGCACAGGCCTGTGGGTGGAGTCCTAGCCAGGGACCACGCCCTCCTCTACCCAGCACTTCCCTGCCCACCACTCATATCAATAATTCACTGCAGCCTTGAACTCCTGGGCTCACGTAATCCTGCCGCCTCAGCCTCCACCGTGCCCAGCTACTTTTTTGTTTGTTTGTTTTTTTGAGACGGAGACTCACCGTCTCCCAGGCTGGAGTGTAGTGGCGCGATCTCGGCTCACTGCAAGCTCTGCCTCCCAGGTTCACGCCATTCTCCTGCCTCAGCCTCCCGAGTAGCTGGGACCACAATAGCAGTGAGGACGACCAGAGGTCACTCTCGTGACTATCTTGGTTTCCGTGGGTTTTTGTCACTTCTTTACTGCAACCTGATTTATCAGCAAGGTCTTTATGACCTGTGTTTTGTGCCCACCTCCTGTGTCATCCTGTGACTTAAAACGGCTTCACTGCCTGGGAATGCAGCCCAGTAGGTCTCAGCCTCATTTTACCCAGCTCCTGTTCAACATGGAGCTGCTCTGGTTCACATGACTAACAGTTTCACCTTCTGGTCAGAGCGTTTGGACCTCCACAGGCTCTGACTCAGCCCTCTTATCCCAGGCTAATCCCATCCCTGTCCCATCCCTGTCTAAAAACCCCACTGCCTTCTTTCTGAGAAAGTTGAGTCTTGTTTATACTAAAGTGTTAATGACTCACAAAGCATTCCCAGAGGAAAAGTTAACAGGAAGAGACTCTGAGGCTCTGGTGGTGAAAGGTCAGGCATCAGCCCTGGGGGAGATTTTTTTTTTTTTCTGGAGGCCCCTCCTGACACCCCCATCTCTGCACAGGAATAGGAATGTGCCCAGCGGGTCCACCTATCTGCCCACGTGGCCCCAGCCCCAGGCTTCTTGGAGTAGAGCAGGGCTCATGCATGTGGCACCCACAGGCAGTTTCAGGCATGGACTTTCTCGGATGGCTGGGTGGCTTTGGAGGAGGTGGGAACTGTTGGTGGAGAATGCTGAGCCCAGCCCTGACGACGGTCTTCTTTTCCTGCCTTAATAGGCTAGTCCTCACGAGCACTGTGGGGGCCTCAATTTGGGGATATTCTCCTCAAACTCCTGCTGGTTCCGAATCTTGCAGGGAGACCAGCATCTCCTTAGCTGCAAATCCCAGTCGCTGCGGGATCTTGGGGCTTCTGGGAGTCCCTGATGGGCCCAGGGCTTCCTTTCTCACTGACTTGGAGGCCTCTCCCCATGGCTCCCCATCTGACGTCTTCTTACCTGGGAGACTTAATTGGAAAGACTCACAGGGACCCGGGGGCATCATGGGGAGCCCTCCTAGGTACTGACAGATGTTTATTCATTTTGCAAAATGGGCAAATAGCAAATAAAGATGTTTAGGGTACGTTTGGAAGAAAACAGCAAAATAGTCACAGCAGTGCTTGCCACTCAGTGGGGAGAAGGCGCATGGGTTTTCCCATCTTTTATTTGGAAATCATTGCAGATGCACAGAATTGCAAAGAAGCCTAGAGGTCTCCATGCACCCGCCCCCTCCCCCGCAAAGCTGCAGGGCAACTGCCAAATCCAGACACACACGCCCAGCACCCACAGGGACGGCTCAGACAGGGAACTTTACTTTCTTTGTACTCTCAGTATTCCCAACACTTCTGGAATAGGCACGTGACCGTTAACTTTAGCTCCTTATTTCTTTTTATTTAATTAAATAAGCAACATATGGATACTCCTTGTTTTGAGAATTTTGGGCCGGCCGCGCACAGCAAAGAGGCTGAGCGCCCCTCGGCAGCTCTCTGCACAGCCATGCGCTGGGATGCGTGTGGAGATCACCCACTGGGTTTGGAGGTGCACAGGACCTCAGGGGGCGATCCTACCAGAGGAGTGGGGCTCGGCCTATGGCCCAGCTACCCCGAACTCCCCAGTGAGCTTCAGGGCCTTTCCTTCCATTTCCAGGAGTGACACCAATCTTGTCTCCTCTCCCAGCCCCAAGCAATGGGAAGAGAGGGTCCCATAACAGGCCATGGCAGTGGCCTGGGAAAGGCCACCCCTGCTGCCTGCCCACTTCAGAGGGTGCCCAGCTTGAGGGTTCCGAGCAAACCTGGGTGCTGCATGTGTCCCTCCCCTGGAAAGAGCAGGCTGGAGATAGTGACCCCTCGTCCCACCTCCCGGGTGCACTGCGGGTGGACTGGGAACCAGGCAGCAAAATCCACCCAGCTTGAGGCCCGCGTCCCCCTGAAAGGGCCCCAAGCCCACACCCGGGGTGTTGCTGAAGTGACCAAAGGTAACCACTGTGCTGAGGGGGCACGGGAGGACAGAGAGGGGGCGAAGGCGTGGTACCCCAAGATCATCCCAGAAAACACGTTGGGAAGTTCTACTTTGTGTCTAGCCTGACTCCTCCTCCGGCGCCCAGGCCCTTTCCCGACAGACACAGCCCTCCCCTCCTATGTCCCTGAGCTTCCTGGTGCCTCTCCCTCTGCCCCCGGCAGCCCTGGCTTCTGTGCTGTATCCTCAGCAGGGCCTGGAGACACCCAGAGGCCTTAAGAACCACACCCTTCACTTTGATTTCTGCAGGAAACGAGGTGGCTCTGGGCCTTGGATAGGAAAGGATTGGGGGTCTCGCTGGGGCCCGACAACACTGGCCTGAGTATGACCAGAACAGTCACCAGAGGCCTCCTGGGAGGGCGGGTGCAGCCCCAGCCCCCGCCGTGAGTAGGAGGAGCGGGGGCGGGTGTGAAAGTGTGGTGGGCAGCAGCGGGTCTATGCGGCTCAGCAGTGGAAAGTGAGCGGGCCAGGCTTCCAGGCGAGCTCAGGGACGGTTTTCACTGCAGCTAACCCTCTCCTGCCCGCCTGCACTCCCCGTGGCAACCAAAGGCCCTGCAGTGTGCGACTCCTCTTTATTCTTCCAAACTCTGTGAGCCTGCACGCTCCCATCCAGGACAGAACAGCAGCGGAGAGTGGCTGAAGGATGACAGGGGGCCTTTAGGGCCAGCTAGGTGGATGAGCTGAGTCTGCTAGGGTTGAGGGTTCAGTCAGGGGTCGGGGGGGGTGGTCAGTCGGGGGTCGGGGGCATCGAAGCCTGGGCCCCATCCAGCTGTCCTCTTTGTCCCGCCCAGGTGTCCCTGGGGTTCCTGTTCTGCCCCCGGCTTCTCTAGGGTTAAGTCCTCCTCCCCGTTCCCTCACTGTGGGGTTTAGCAGCATGGCACAGCTGTGGAGTTTGGACTGGCAGTCGGGGTCACAGCAGACTCAGGAGCTCCGATTCCGGGGCCAACACTGAATGCTCCTCTTCTGGGGACATCAGCGCCTCTCCCTTGGCTACTTGGGGAGGCTGGTATGGAGGGAAGTGGAGGGAGAAGGAGGAGGTGGAGGGAGACGCGGGGAAGTGAGGGGAGGTGGGGGGAAGGAGGGAAAGAGGGAGGAGGGAGAAGGGGGAAGGGGAGGAGGAAGGAGAGGAAGGAGGAAGAGGAAGGGGGAGGGGAGGGCAGCTCAGGCCCTTCTGTCTGCTCTGATCTTCATGGCCTGAGGACAAGAGCTGCTCCCAGACCTGCGGAGGCCCCTTGGAGCAGAGGGATGTTTCAGAGAACAGCCGGGTGACCTGCCTCCCTGCTCTGCATGACGCAGCACTAGGCCGCTGTGAGTCCAGCGTCACCCCTGCAAGGTGGGGGGTCACGGCCCCTGCCTGGACGGGCTGCGCAGCCCATCTGTCTTTACTTGGGCCTTCTCTGCTTCCAGAGGCTGCCCTGGGCGCCTGACCCTGGAACCTTCATCTCCAGCTCCCCAGCCCCTCCCCCACAGCCCTGGGACCGGCGCCAGCCTGGGGAGGGGTCTCCATGCTCAGTTCCTTCCCGTCTTGTTCAAAGAGACACTGCCTGCCCACGTGCCATCAGCAGGATCCACAACCCTGCCAGGGGCCCCATGACACGCCCCCGCTGCACAGAGCATGTGACCCCAGAGGCCACCCTGGCCCGTTCCAGAAAGTGGTGGGCCCTGGGATACTCCCCTCCCAGGGTGTCTGGTGGCCGGCCTATGCCTATCCCTGCTGTCCCCGGGGTGAGCCCGGAGGTCAGGAGCTCCAGAAGGGCTAGCTGGGCATATTCTGGGACTGGCCATCAGCCCCCATTTCTGCTGCAGACCTGGTCAGAGCCAGTGTTCCCTCCATGGGGCCTGAAGACAGTGCCAAGTGCCTGCACCATGGACCGCAGCTGTGCCGCTGGGCAGCTGGTGACGGTCCCACGCGGGAGCGCTGTGGACCCCGCTCTCTGGGCAGCCCTGCCCTAGGCCTGGACACCTGCAGAGCCTGGGACCATGTGGATGGGCAGATCCTGGGCCAGCTGCGGCCCCTGGCAGAGGAGGAAGAGGAGGAGGGCGCCGGGGCCATGTCGCCCAGGGGGCCTGCCTTCCCCGGCATGGGCTCTGAAGAGCTGCGTCTGGCCTCCTTCTATGACTGGCCGCTGACGGCTGGGGTGCCGCCCGAGCTGCTGGCCGCTGCCGGCTTCTTCCACACAGGTCAGTCCTGGGCGGGGGGGCCTTCCTGCTGTGGGCCTGGGCACGATTCTGGACCCTTCCAGCCCAGGGCTCTGCCTCCTCCATAGCATCCATCCCCCAACAGGAAGGGTCTGGCCGGATGATGGAGCAGTAGTCCTGCAAGCCCTTCAGTGCCCATGTGCTCCTGCCTGACACGCTCTCCCGGAGTCTCTGCTGGCCAAGTGTGTCAGACTGTGGGACATGAGGAGGGGCTGCCTCTGGCCATGGTCTGGGGGTCTCAGCTGTGGAGGCCA